TTTTCATAAAGCAAGCTTTTTGCAACTTTACAATTCTTGAGCCATGGACCTGTTTCTTTGTTACAAGAAATGTCCATAGATATCAGGCAATTTTTACCAACCCTTGGCAGCCCTAGAACTAGCAAGTACAACATTTTGGCACAAGTCATTTCACTTTTCTTCAAAAGCAAGACAAATTGCAAAAGTCAAGAGAACTTGTACATCTGATAAAGGAAGGACTTGGCCTTATTCAGAACAACTTCACAAACTCATCTCAAGCTAGCACACAGAGGCTTATGATCTGAAACATTTAAAAACACCAAAACCACAAATTTCTGCCCAAAACTGCCAGTTTCTGCAAAACACTAGCCACTTCATATTTTGCTCGTGCGTTTCTTGTTTCAACACTTGAAAAACTTCATCCACATCATATCCAAGCTACCCAAGCCCTTGTCCTGGTTCTGTGAGCTCTGTTTTAGACATCACCATTTTCACTTTTGAAGGTTGCAGGTTGACTCGTGCAGGGAGTTTTAGCCATCCACAAAGCCCCAAAAGCATTGGAAAAGCTTGAGGGAACTTCAAGGAAGCTCACATGATCCTCAGGCCTCACTCAAAGTCCCCATATTGCCATATCCAAACTCAGCTGAATAAGGTATTTTTCAAAACTCTATCTCTCTATTTAGGAATCCTCAAGCTTTGATTTGTGAAGCAAAGATGTAGTCCTTAACATGGTGAAGCTGTACATATGCATAGTTGTCATTTATATTAATTGATTAGTGAGAATTTGAAGCTTGAAGTTCATGAAAAAATTAGGTCAGAAATTAGGGCTACAGAAATTCTCCATGATCCTTGAGAGTTAGATTATGTTTTTTATATCATTGGAATCGTGATAAAAAATGCTACATGTTTCATGTTGCAAGTTTTTGTTTTTGTGCAAAGAATAGCAAGTTGCGGGTTTTGAAAAAATGCGCGCAGGGAAGAGGAACCAAGGACAGGGACAAAGCTGTTGTCTTGGGCTTTTTTGCTTCTGGCCTTTTTTGGTTTTGCTATTCACACCCCCTGTATTACTTTTGCACCCCCTTGCATATTTTGTTTATTTTTCATATTTTCTTTTATATTTTTTTTATATTTATTGTTTTTATTTATTTTTCTGAATCACAAAAATCATGAAAAATATTTTCTTTATTTTTTGCATTTTATTTTATTTTTTATCTTATTTTTTGCATAAAATATTGATTTATTAGAATAAATAGAATCTATTTTCTTAAAATAAATAGTAAACATATTTAAAAATATCATACATTTTCATTTTTATTATTCATACACATAAAATATTATTTTCATACATATTTTAATTTTTAATATTTGTTAATAATATTATTTATTATTTCTTGTACATAAATGGATAAAATAAATAATATAGAACATATATTTCTTTTAATAAATAAAAAACTAGGGTTTCACCCTTCCAAAAATAACAATATTATTTTTCTTATTTTTAGGACTTAAATAATTTTATTTTTTCATACATAAAATTAATACAAGACATCTTTGCATAAATACATTTTATTTGCATATTTAAATATTTGTATATTTATTTATCTTGTATAATAATTCAATTGGATTGTAATAGTATTTTAGGGTTTTATTTTATGCAAATATCCCCATTCAAAAACTTGTATCCCCCCTCCCATAATAATTGTTGTAATAGCTTAGTTTACTTTACGCAATTTATCGCATTATACCATGTTTAGTAAAACTAGGGTTTTACATGATAAGACAAAAATCAAACAAATAGAATGACCTAATACAAGACAAACAAAAGCATGTAAAATGACAACACATTGCACACAAGCACCCCTAGGGTTTCACCCACTTGGTTGCCTAAACAAAAATGGTCATAGTATGCATGCAAAGTATCTTGGCAAAACAAAACAAAAGATCATAGTCCCTCGATGACGCTATCAAAAGGTTGCCTAAAAACAAAATGATCTTGGTCCCTTAAGCATGCTAAGATACTTGGTAACATTGCTATCATGGTCATACGATGACCCACGCTCGTCCCGTTTAACATCTAAAGATAGGGTTGTCTACCAAAACAATGGTAGGTCAACAATGTCAAAGGAATAAAAATGCATAAGAAAGACTTTTGAGTAGATAGATAGCTTCTAGTTACTTGATCACTTCAAAACAATCCTTGCTATTTTCAAACAAACACACACACATTTTCAAAATATTTCCAAACAACTTTCAAAACATTGAAACATTTTTCAAAAGACAAACATCTTTGTATACATTCTTACGAACGAGAATCATTACAAAGATTGCCTAAACGAGGGCCTCTTTTCAAAATATTTTCAAAACCACACAAATCACCATTTCAAACAATTGCAAAAGCAAAGCAAGTGATCTAAACAAGTAACTAAGAGCCCATGGAAAACCATGGATGAAAAGGGTGCTAGCACCTTCCCTTTTCATAATCTACCCCCCGAACTCAAGAAAACATCTCAAAGGTCTTTCCTGTGCTTTTTTTACCTTTCCTTTTGGATAAAAGAAAAGTCGGTGGCGACTCTTGCTAACCGCAACATTTGCAAACAAAAACGCAAAACCTCAAGTCAGTTCTCCCACCGCATCACACCTACTATTGACCAACTTGCTTGTAGAGGCTTTATGCCTCCTTTTATGTGAAGTGTTTGCAAAAATTCCTCTTAAACTATTTCACATATCTACTTTAATTATTCTTTTGCAAGAAGAATTCGGTCATAGTTCAGCAATATCACCATAATTAATAATATTAGCTCTATGTTTGACTGTTGGTTACTTTTGGATTCTCACATTTTCACTTGTGCTATCATTTTTCTTGTGGGTTTTATGAATGTGCTTAATTGTATTTGGCTTTCTAGAAATATAGCTCGTTTCAAAGATGTTTTAGATAGATGGGAATGCATGGATACTAAGATCTTCTCCCAAGTTTCTCTCACTGGTAATGGTCTCAAAACTCATGCTTTTAGTATGAGAGGTTTTGTTTTTTAAGGCTTTTCGGCTTAATTGTTCTCCTCCTTCTCCTAAGATAGTCAAAGAAGTTGTGTGGTTCCCTTGATGGATTTAAATTGAATCGTATATAAACAAATTATAGCATATTATAATATCATAGAATAATTAATAATAAGAAGAACGATGTACCTTGTGAGATTGAAGAGAATTTTGTCGGAGAGTGTGTACGAGGGGATTAATATCCTCCTTACTGTTTAGGGTTTTCAGAGTATGTTAATCGTTTAATGAGACAACACTTAAATAGCTAAACGAGTGAGGGTAGAGACCTCTCATTAGACTTAACTGAATGGTCTAACCTATCACAGTCTATTCAAGCACAAAACTCAATCAAATAATTAATCAATAATTAGTGTTTAATAACAATTGACCATATTATAATTAATTAATAATTAATTATTTTAATTCATATTTGATTAATTAAATAATTAATCTAACATCTATTCCATGTACAACTGAGTTAAAAGTAATTTTGACGGTTCTTCTATTAATAGTTTGGTTGCTCGTGGTGGTATCTTTCGCAATCACAATGGATTACCTTGGAAATTTTGGTTGTTTTTTGAGTTTGGTTGCTTGTGGTGGTATCTTTTGCAATCACAATGAATTACCTTGGAAATTTTGGTTGTTTTTTGAGTTTGATTGCTTGTGGTGGTATCTTTCGCAATCACAATGGATTATCTTGACAATTTTGGTTGTTTTTTGAGTTTAATTGCTTGTGGTGGTATCTTTCGCAATCACAATGGATTACCTTGACAATTTTGATTGTTTTTTGGACCAAAGTGATTCTCTTTTTGCTGAATTTATGGCTGATATTCTCACTATGGAGCACGCTATTGTTTCTCTTTGGTTGGAATGCTCGTTATTCAGGCTTTTTCTAAACTAACTTTAGTGCTTTGGAAGATCAGGAATAGGTGGCTTAACTGTCTCCACGACATCAACTCTATTTTATTCTGGCCAACCACATATATAGGAAAGGTAACCATTGCACAAATATGTAAGTAGCGTTTATTGTAACAAACTATGTACTTTGCCTAACTTTAGAGTTTGCTAGCTTTTTGGAGGTTTTGGCCTAATCCCTAACTTTAGAGTTTGCTAGCTTTTTGGAGGTTTTGGCCTAATCCCTCCATTTTTGTACCTTCTTCCTATTAATATATTTGGGCAATCTGCCTCTTTTTGGTTAAAAAAACATATGACTGTTAACAAATTTTAAAACTTTATTCAACACTACTCACACATTTTTTTAATATTATATTTTAGCGTAAAAACAAATTTGTTTTTCAACTATCTTTTTAAATTATAATAGATGTAATTTTACTTGTCTTATATTTCATAAAATATGCTTTCAGTTATCTTATGTTTTCTTTTTTAATGGTCAACAACGCGTCTTATTTTAACTACTTTTTTATTTTATTTTCTAGCAGAGTATTAATTATTAATATTATTCTCATTATTATTATTATTTCTAAAATATTATTAATTTAATAAATTGTTTTATTTTTTTATATGATTATTTATTAGGAATGATAATGAGTATCCATAATCACATGTATTAGTCTTATATTATGAGATTATTTATGAATATTACGAAAAATAAAAAGGAATATAGATCAAACAATCTAATAAAAAGTTAGTCGATGGTTTTGAAAAAAGAAGTCAAATCAAACAAACCAATAAAAAGATAATAGATGTATATATTAAATAACTTTGATGATGTTCAATCTAACTTATCTCCCTCACAAAAGATTTATCAAAGAAAAATTTCTCTGGATAAGTGGGGAGTGATTTGTTGATAGGACTTGATAAGAGTTTCATAAAGTGGTTGAATAAAAGAATTTCTAATGATTCAAGTCCATCCAAGACAATTAAATGGATGCAATGCAATATAAATAGCGAGAAAATTTGAAAAATGATGAAAATGAAGTTTGCTCACGAGTTCTATTTTAAAATTTAAACAATTTTAAGAAATAAAGATGGAAGAGGGAAAAATCTTTCATGAGAATATAAATCAAACTCGTTCGAAGATTGAAACTCGTAAAAATTATAGAGATTGGAATAACGCTGCATTTATGGTTCGAGAAAGAGGTAAGATGAACACGAGACAGAAAACCACACAGTAATTTCTAGATTTTCAGTCAATATATATAAATGATTTATTTTATGAGTGTCTAAATAACACTATTTATGGGGGAAAATACAACAAAATTACATAAGAAAAAACTAATTAAAAACTAGCTATTATGACGATGTTTGTTGATATTGTTCTTGGCTCTGATTCTACAACCCCATGATGATGATATACCCCTCTCACGTGCATGAGATCTTCTATTCAATTCAACAATTTGTTTCATCCACTTACTTCTTCTCAAATCATCCAAACCCAATAAATTAGAATCATACTCTTTTTTAAGCTTTGGATTTGACAATATCTTCATTGAGTTTTACAAACATCCTTGTTGATTCCTCTTTATTCAAACCATTATGATAAACATCGGGATGATATTGAAGAGCCAATGTTCTATAAGCTCTTTTTATCTAATCCATTGTTGAGTTTATAGAACTCAAACATAGTATCTTGTACAAGTTTCTATCATCATCATTATGATTAACGGGAACACTTTTTGTGGCTCTACATGAGACAAAAAATTGTACTATAAGAGATTGTCTTTGATGACTATTTGAAAGTGGAAGGATATGATGATGTTTGTGTGGTTTTAAAATATGTATTAGGCTTGAGCTTGAGTTTAAGGATAATAAAACATTCATTTTGATTTTTTTCTTTTCTCTTTGTTTTTGTGAATGTGTACTTTTATAATAATAAAAATTTATTTTATATCGTATTCTAAGTATTGAAGGAGTATTCAAATAATTTTATTTAAAAAATAAAAAAATGTATGCATCTAGATAAAGTGTCAACAAGTCGTTTTACACTGGCAACACATCTCCTATATGAATCAATCTTCCTTATCCTTAATTCTTCTTTTCTCAACCTTAATTATATCATCACTTTTGTTTTTATATTAAAAGAATCAAAATTTTCCTTTAATTACTTTTTCCTCAACTTTAATTGATTACTCTTTTTATAATTCTTTATTAATTACTATCAAATTTTACAAACTCAATTAATTTTTGTTAGAGAATAATTTAACTAATGATTAATTTTTTTTACGTATTATATGTTAGATTTTTCAATAATTGACAAATCTTCGTAGCAAATACGTATTGTGTTTGTATCTCTTAACCAATGCATATACATAATTGAAAGTTTTTTATACAGTCAAAGAGTTAGTTAGCTTACAATACTATATTATACATGTTGTACACTCTAGTTTATAGTGTTGATCACCTTATATACAAATAATATAATATAACCTCACTTTATGCTATGGGAAATTGCTACATCTTCCTCTCTAATGTGTTTTCGATTACCTCTTTTTTATCTCATAATATGTTCTAATCTCAATACACCTAATTTCTCACCATTTACTTTGTTTTTCCTGCACAATTTCACTCTTCTTGATTGTGTTTACTTCTCTCTTCGATCCAATCACCATGCCTCCGCGTCTTTAACCTCTTGTTCGTCCCTCCAATGGCGATATTGATTCAATATACTATATCCACCCTAGTGAAGGTCCCAATTCTATTAAAATTACACCGATATTAACTGCTTCTAACTACCTTTCATGGTCTCGATCCATGCAACGTGCACTTGGCGCTAAGAATAATTTGTCTTCGATTGATGGCCCAATTGAAGTTCCTGATTCTATCGATCTAAATCGTGCAACATGGAAATGTTGCAATTATCTAATACATTATTGGCTCCTCAATTCCATTTCCGAACCAATTGCACATATCATCTTTTCTTGGAAAACACTCTCTACGTTTGGCTTGATCTCAAAGAAAGATTTGCAAAATCTAATAGGATTCGTGTTGCAAATCTCCGTGTTGAACTCAATAACATGAAACAAGGTGAAAAACACGTTCTTGACTACTACACCTCCATGTGTGAATTGTGAAAGAAGTTGAATTCACATCGTCCATTATTAGTATGCACATACATTCAACAATGCAGATGTAAAGCCATGCGTTCAGTGAGACATTTTCGCATCGAGGATCAAATCATTCAGCTTCTCACTGGTTTAAATGACAACTTTTATGTTATAAAGTCTCAAGTTTTTCTTATGGGACCTTTACCATCCATCAATAGAATCTATTCCACGGTTATTCAAGAGGACAATAATCACATAGCTTTACTTCTAAAACTTGAAAATGGTGCATCTATTGATGAATCTAATGCATTGATAAATGCATATAACTCAAGAAATTTTCAGATCACAACAAGAATTCTACTCATTCTAGTTGCAAGAAAGATCTCAGAGGTTTGCATGCATTTTAATCGCACTAGACATACTGTAAAATTGTGTTATATAGAAAGCATGGATTCCCTCGTCAATATGGCAATAAAAATGCTTTAGCCAATTCATTCAACTCCTCTGATGCAGAAGATCACCAACAAACTCATGTTGATGGTGACAGTTCATCAAATGCTCAAGCTAGCACTACTCAAGAGCAGATTTCTCAGTTGATCAGCTTACTACAACATTCGAATTTGATGCCTCATAACCCTTCCCCTAATCACACATCTAGTTCAAACCAAATTTCTATTCATAATGTTCATAAACCATATGATACATCAGGTATAACTTATATATCAAACTTTACTTGTTTTAGTTGTTCAAAGTCCAATTTTTGCCTTCTTGACTTAGGAGCAAATGACCATGTATGTTCTTCTTTACACCATTTTCATTCTTATTCTCAAATTACACATGTTAATGTTTGTTTACTAAATGGATCTTTAGTGTTAGCAAAACATGCAGGAACTGTTATTTTTTTCTCCACAACTTTATATCACTAATGTGCTATACATTCCAGATTTTTCCTTAAATTTGATTTCAGTGTCAAAACTATGTAAACAACTTAATTATACATTGCAATTTTTTGATCATAAATGCATTATGTAAGACCTGAAATCGTAGAAGATGATTGGTTTGGCTATTGAAATTGATGGCTTATACAAAATCTTGCTTGATGGTGATGCTCATCCCAACACCATAATCACAAAATATTCACATTCAGCCACTCCACACACTAGAATAACCAAAGTGACTACTATACCATTACAAGGTCTTTGGCATTTTAGGTTTGGCCATTCATCTCATCACAGATTATGTAAAATGTCCCAAATGTATTCAAGTGTAACCCATGATAATAAAGTTGTGTGTGATATTTGTCATTTTTCTAGACAAAGAAAGTTCCTTACCATAACAGTACTTCTAAAGCTTATTCTCCTTTTGAATTAATTCACTTTGACATATGGGGACCCCTAGGTAATACATCTATCCATGGCCATAAGTACTTTCTAACTATCCTTGATGATTTTACTGGATACACATGGATCATTCTCCTCAAATCCAAGGTTGAAGTTTCTCAGCATGTCCAAAATTGTATTGCCCTAGTAAAAGATTAGTTCAAAACCTGTCTAAAGCATATAAGAACTTATAATGGTGCTAGGTTCATAATGACACAACTTTACATGAAAAAAGGCATTTTCCACCGAAGATCTTGTATTGAGTCACCCCAACAAAGGGGAGAGATGAAAGAAAACATCAACATCTTTCTAATATAGGCAAAACCCTACTGTTTCAATCAACACTTCCTAAACACGTTTGGTCTTATGCAGTATCCTATGCCACATGTATCATCAATAGGATTAATACTCCCCTACTCAATCACAAATCTCTCTATCAAATGTTACATTAATCCCTTTCAAACATTAACAAAATCAAAGTTTTTGGATCTCTTTGTTATGCATCTACACTACAAAACCATAGAACCAAGATTTCTTGCAGAGCAAGAAAGTCCTTATTATTAGGCTACCAACTAGGTTTCAAAGGATTTGTTCTATTGGACCTCAACACCAACGAAATCTTTATTTCCAGAAGTTTTACACTCTATGAACATATTCTCCCTTATAACATTTCTCCCATAGTTGTTCCACAAAACTGGGAGTACTTTAATGATCACTCTCTTCCATCACAAAACCTTAATCCTATCGATCCAATCCCTTCACATAGCCCTAATCCAATTTTCATCACACCTCCCAACTCTACTAACCAAAATGTTCCTCGTGTCACTGAGGATTCTTCCTCCACCCATATTGATTCCCCTTTTGAATAATCTATTGTCCATCCTGCTATGTAAGATTATGTATGTGCTTCATTTCATGATGATTATAACCAATCATCTACAGGTACTCATTATTCCCTATCTAATTTTCTATCTTACTCTCATTTGTCTCATTCTGATTGACATTACACCCTTTCCATTACCATACACACTGAACCTAAAACCTATAATGAGGCAAACAAATTTGAGTGTTGGAGACAAGCTATGAAAATCGTGTTAGATGCTCTTACTAATATTGGTACTTGGATAATTATTGATCTCACACCTAACATCAAACCCATAAGTTGTTGATGGGTTTACAAAATTAAGTACCATGTAGATGGTAACATTGAAAGATTCAAGGAATTCTTGGTTGCTAAAGGATATAACCAAATCGAAGGCTTGGACTTCACATACACTTTTCCCCTTTTTCCAAGCTCACCACTATCAGACTCATGCTATCTCTTTCTTCTATACATTCATGCACCTACACTAACTCGATGTCAATAATGCATTTCTCCATGGAGAATTGCATGAAGATGTTTACATGATCATTCCTCCAGGTGTTACTTCCTCTAAACCTAACTAGGTTTTCAAGTTATCCAAGTCCTTATATGGTCTTAAGCAGGCTAGCCGCCAATGGTATCAAAAACTCATATCACTCCTTGTGCATCATACATATCACCAAGTTGAATCAGATCACTCCTTGTTTGTTAAAACCTCTAATACCAACACCACCATCCTTTTGGTATATGTTAATGATTTTTTACTCGCACGTAATTCCATTTTAGAATTCACATTCATCAAAGATATTTGGCATGCTACATTCAAAATTAAAGACATATGCACCTTGAAGTATTTTCTTGGCTTGGAAGTTGCTCATTCTTCGAAAGGTATTTCACTGTGCCAACAAAAATATTGCTTAAATATCCTCACTAGTGCATGTCTCCTTGGATCCAAACCAACATCTACTTCTTCTGATCCTTCCATTAAGCTATGTCACGATGATGCTGAGCCATTCCCTGATATCCCAGCTTATAAAAGACTCACTAGACTCCTTATCTACCTCAACACCACTGGACCTGATATCAATTTCATTACTCAACAACTGAGTTAACTCTTATCAAATCCATCTCTTACTCATCATAATGTTGCTTGTAGAGTCCTTAGATGTAATGCCTGTAATTTAATTAATTATTTAATTAAATTATTTTTGGAATATTTGTGAAGTTGTGTTATAATGATAGTTGATGTGTTGTTCTTATTGGATTTATTTATTCTATTGAGTTGTGGAATAATAGTATAATAATAATATTATTTAGTGTGGGCTTATTTTAAGGACTAGAAGTAGTAGAAAGGGGTATAGGAGTTTTGAGCCCAAGACATAATGAGAATTATAGGTTTATTATATTAGTTTTTAGAAATAATAAGAAAAAGAAGAAGCAGTAATAAGAGAAAGAAATAAGGGTTGGAAGAGAACGTGAAAGTTGCAGAAAAGAAGGAAAAGAGGCAGAACAGAAATCAATCGGAAAAGTTATAGAGCAACCTTCAATCTAAAGTAGAGGTGGGGTTATGATTCTATAATATGGTTTATGATGATTAGTATGTGGGATTAGATGTGAAAAGTTGTTTTGTTTATGATTGAAATATATATATATATATATATATATATATATATATATATATATATATATATATATATATATATATATATATATATATATATATATATATATATATATATATATATATATATATATATATATATATATATATATATATATATATATATATATATATATATATATATATATTGTTGTTTGATGAGGATCAAGGATTTAGAGATGAATAATGATACCCTAATGATGTATAATTGGTGTAGAAACATAGGATTATTATAATTGATGATTACCTATGATTAGAGGATGTTTTTAGGGCCTAAGGCAGGGAAACCGCAGTGAAAACGCATAAAATATTCATGACAGAACAGTATGGGTCGACCTAAAATGCCATGCGTCGACATATGCAGGCTTTTGGACTCAGGATGAGTCGATACATAAGACTATGCATCGATACACGCAGTATGGCAGACTCAGTATGAGTTGATACAAGAGGATTGCACATCGACTCATGCATGATTTTAACCCAGTATGCGTCGACTCAAAACATTATGCATCGACTAACGTAGTCAGATTTTTGGCAGATTCGTTCCAGAGGCTGTAACTTGAGTTTCCGGACTCCGTTTGAGGTGTCGTTTGAAGCGTTGGATAGCTAACATGATGAAATTCATTATTAAGGATTAAAATGAAGAATAAGAAGAATAATCCTAGTAACCAAAATTAGGATTAGAGTTAGCTTCGCGCGTTAATCACTTTGATGATTTTGTGAAGTATGATGAGGATAAGACGATTATAGATTATTGCTTGGTTCATAACAGTAAGATTAATGATGATAATGATGTAATATTACAGAATAATAATATGTAGAAGTTTGGTAATTAGAGATAAGCCTTAGATGATTAATTAATTATAGGCATTGTCATGTTGTAGGCCTATGGCCTACGTTGAGGGATTGTTGATCTGTCGTTGTATTGTTGTTATGGCTGAGTTGCTGTAAAGTTATGTTGATGAAATTATGTTGATGACTCATGCGATGAATGATGTTGAGATGCCTCTAATGATTGGCAGCCATTAAGATGTAGGCTTCTTGCCAACGATGATGTTGTGTTGAGATGTTGTTAATTATGGTTGTTGTTACTACATTCATGATTGTGCCGCATACATTGCATTTCAAGATGGAGTTGTTGCTCATTAAGATGGCCTGTATTGGCGAATATTAAGATGAAGGCTTATTCCTTGTTGATGCCTCTAATTATTGGAAATTATTTGAGATGAGAGTTCTGCTCCAATGGTACAACATGCATTTGCATTGTTTTGAGTCGCATTATATGATTGCATAAAGAAATTGTGTATTGATGCGGTAAATGTGTATATTGTTGGTATTCTATTGCGATTATTGTTGTTTATCAGATGTGATGTGGTGTTATTATATGTGCTGATCTAGCATATTATTTATCATATGTTTTATTATATTGTTAGTGTGCTACGGTGGGAGAACTGACTGTTTTTTGGAATGCTGGTTTGTGTTTTGCGTTTGTTTTTGAAAAATGTCGCGGTAAGCAAGAGTTGCCACCGTCTTTTATTTTATCCAACACGGAAAGGAAAAAAGCACAGAAAAATTCCTTTTTTCGAGATATTTCTCGGGTTCGGGGGGTAGATTATAGAAAGGGAAGGTGTTAGCATCCTTTCTATCCGTGGTTATCCACGGGCTCTTAGGTACTTGCTCAATTGTTTTCAAAATTGTTTTCTTTGTGCTTGTGGGTTTTGAAAAAGTTTTTGTTTTGAAACTTCGATTTAACTCTTGCTTCTGTCCTCAAGAGTGTATGAAGTGTTTTTTTGAAAACTTTGTTCGAAAAGTGTAAGTGTGAAAAGTTTTTGTTTTTTTTTTAAAGAGAAAGTATCTAAGAACCATTTACCTACTGTTTCCAGTGATTTCTGGTAAACAACCGCTAGTCTTCCAAACTATCGAATAATCTTTATTAACGCTACTCAATCTCTTTGGTAACTCACAGGATCGACTAGATTGATCCTAGGACTCCTTGGATATTAAGGTTACTCTCACAATCGAACAACTATTCATGGGTGCTATTGTACAAATGCTTGGTTTATTTCGATCCCTATCTCTAAGAGTTTAAAATGTGGTCAAAATGTATGTGAAAACTAAGTTATACGAATAATTGCTAATTGTAATGCTGATTGAAAAGACATATAAAACTGTATGGAAAATGAAGTAACTAGTTTCGACCCATAAAACATTTAACATAAAAGGTTTCTGGAATGTGGAAGTTTAAAATGTGAAGAAAGCGTTTAATGCAAGAAATCTAGAAATGACTTTAAGTGAAAGTACATGTTTGAAGAATAATACTTGAAAGTAAAGGTATTGAGAGCGTAAAAGTTCTCTGAAATATAGAGTGCTCGAAATATAAAGAAAGCAGTAAAATGTAAAACTTTGAAGAAAAGACTTTGAAATGAAAAGACAGTAGATAAAGAAACTTGCAAATGTTATTCGACAGAAAGAAAAAGAAGGAAAGTGCTGGAAATAGTAAAAAGGCTTTTATTAAATTAGAAATACATGGTGCTATCATACATACATCTCTCTTGCATTCGTTTCCCTTGCCATGTGGTAGTTTGAATGTTATTGAGTATTTTGTATAACAGATATGACACACTGAAATCCTAACACTAAGACTTCTATTTATACTAACTCGACCCTAACGGTCTCACTACAAGATCATGCCACGTTTCGAACATGCAAGACAATGCTCCTTTCATCTTTCCACGTGTCCCCAAATGCTCCAACACATAACTTTCAAACTTTGAAAGTCCCGCTTTCATTTAAATTTTAAATGCTTTGGTGTTTCTCTGTTTCGAACGCTCTTCTCAGACCTAGCTTCGCTGCTGTTTCGAGACCCCTTTGGATACGCTCCCATGATCACCGTTCGAAGCTTCAAGCTTTGACACACTCATTCGAAACACTGCTTCTGCAATTTCGAAGCGTGGTGTTTTAATTCCATTTCGATCAGAACTTCTAGCTCTTTTTGAATTCTAAATAACACTATCAAAATCTTCAGCCAACAAATTGCCCCTTTAAAATATGTATTTCGATCTCTCTGAGAAATACCTATTTTAAACATTTATACAAGATTTTGATAGGATCTTCGAATCATCATAGCATTTAATGCGTTTGACCCTAGTCACATCAATCATAGCACCCTTTGGGTATCTTAACCGCCCAAAGTCACTTCACAGCATGGTGCAGTTATAAGTAATGATTGTTTTTAAAATCACGCCTATTACCTATATCAACTTCTCGCCACCTCTTCATCACACCAATCCATGATCTCCACGTATCATACTTTCACTCGGTGGACGCTTAATCTTCTTATTATAAAA